GTTCCTCGATGTGAGGTGCCACAGGAGCACAAGGTTCTTCAGAACAGTCATTTTGTCTGTGCTTGATCTCTCAGAGATGTCAGCCCCTGCTTTGTGTTCATGCTGGATCATCCACCTGTCCTGCAGATAGCAGCCAAACCCTCCTGTGCTGCTGAGAGGAGGCAGCTTCCTTGTGGGGGAAGAGGAGGGACAGACACTGATCTTGTGACACAGAGACACAGAGACATCTCTTGTCTGTGGTGACAGGGACAGCAGCCAGGGCACGGCTGGGGCTGGGCCAGGGCAGCTCAGGCTGGAGCTCAGGGCAAGGCTCTGCCCCCAGAGGGTGCTGGCACTGCCCAGGCTGCCCAGGGAATGGGCACGGCCCCGAGGCTGCCAGAGCTCCAGGAGCCTTTGGGCAGCGCTGCCAGGGGTGCCCAGGGTGGGGCTGCTGGGCAGGGACAGGGGTGGGATTCATGATCCTGGTTGGGTCCCTCCCAACTCAGGATGTTCTGTGATCCTGTAGTAGACCAGGTGTGAAAAGCTGCTTTAAATCACACCCAGCAGCCCCTGCATGTCCTGGAGGGTTAGTGGAGTCCCTGGATTTGTCACTTGGGAATTATTGAGGCCAGAGGATGATTAGAGGAGAATCAGTAGTGAAGAGAGCAGGTCCTGGTCCCTGGTGCTGCTCAGCTGTTTGGGTCTGGTGAGGCTCTTGGTGGGTTGGGATGTGCTGGAGGTGCTGTGGGGTGGCACAGGGCAGGGATGGAGCCCAGCTTGTGCTTCAGCACTCACCATCCCATCCTGCTCCTCAAGGACAGAGCAGGGATGGGACCTCCAGCAGGAACCCCAGGTTTGGGAGATGGGAACCACTCACAGGGAAGGGAGAAGGGCTCAGTCCTTCCCAGCCCCCCTGTTCTGAGCTGCTGTGATGGGGAGCAAATGCTGACTCAGACTCTCCCTGCTGGAATAGAATTATAGGATGATTTTATTCATTTAGTGTCTAGAACAATTACTTTTCCCTGACTGTTACAAGGCGAGGATTTGGATTGTCAAAGAGGTTTCAGTTTAAAAGGCGTAAACACCCTACTTTGGCTCATCAGCCAAGCAGCAAATGTAATAATGGGTGGAGAAGGGAAAAGCCACAGTAAGGAGATTCCTTCTGGAGCTGAGGGTGCAGAATAACCCCTGGAGACTTCCTGAGGGGTCCCTGGTGTGTGAGAACCCATTGAGTCTTTGCTCTGTCATTAATACTGCCTTGCAGACTTTTTCATCTCCCTTTTGGAGGTGAGGTGGCTGCAGACTCTCATTGCTCATGTTGTAGCTCGGGTTCTATAAATTGGTTATTTTTATAAATAAATCTCTCTACATGGGAGCTCTTTGGTGGCTGGTCTGGGTGCAGCCTGAGTCCTGCCAGCCTGACACAAGGTTGACTTCCCTTTTCTAAATGAGATCTGCATGACTACTCAGGTTTATGCTTTGTTGGGCAATGTTTGCCCTGCCTTCTCTTTCCTGGATATTACTCATTACTAGTTCAAATCCTAGCAAATAAATAAATGATTTTTGCTATGGCAACAAGAACCTATTGATTGAACAGCACAATATTTCCTGAAAAGCCTGATTTACTCTTTCCAGCGTGTCTGATTGCTGAGCAGAGTATTTATACATAAATTTATAAATATAAATATATAAATTTATTTTTATATAAATTTATAACTATATGTATATATGGGTTTGGGTTGGACCCTGGGTTTGTGACACAGCTGTGGGTGAAGCCTCCAGCTGAGCAAAGAGTGACAAATCCCTGCAAACATCCACAGCTGAAGGGTGCAGAATTCTTCCTTGCCACAGCTGGCAGCTGCTGCTGGGGCAGGAGCAGGGGAGCAGTGCTGGGACAGGCTGAGCAGAGCCTCTGGCTGGGCTCCAGTGAGCTTGGCTCTGCTGGGACACGCTTTTCTTCTACAGGAACGTCCCCTGCTGCCTTTTGTGTTCCCATAAAAGTCCCTGTGGTCTGGCAAGGCACTGCTGGCTGTGCAAACCTGTTGTCTGTGCCATGACTGGGCTCTTGGTTTTCCTTTCTGGCTGGTTCCTGGGGCTGAGGCTGCCTGTGTTCCTCAGCTGGGCTCTGGAGCCACTCACAGCATTTCTGTGCCCCTGTGTCCCCTGGTTTTGCCTGAATGCTTCACCGTCCCTGTTCTGCTGGGTCAAGCAGAGCTGCTTTGTGCTTCCCTGAAAGCTTTTTGTGCTTGGAGAGGGGAGCTCAGGTGCTGCCACAGCCGGCTTTGGGCTTTGGGCTCTCTCCCCATGGGCAGGGCTGGGTGCCCCAGGGTCCATCGGTGCCAGTGCCTGGCTGTGCCTCGTGTTTGCTCTGCCTGGGTGTGCCCAGGGCTTTATTGCAGCACCCTGGGGCTCTGCCTGCTGCAGGCTGTGGGAGCAGGGGCTGGCATTGCCACAGGGCAGCTCAGTGTGCTCTGGGGGAGCCTGTGCCACGGTGCCCCCATGCACACACACCAGCCTGGGTGAGCCTTGCAGGTGATCCTGGCCCCAGCTGTGCCCTGGGGCTGGCTGGTTGCTCTGTGTCAGGGGCTCCAGCATTGCCTCCTGCTTGAACTGGCTGTGGGGAGTGGGAGCTGCTGGGTTTGGGGTGTTGGTGCTGTCTCTGGGCTCGGTGTGGGGTGTGGGTGTCTCCAGGCTGTTTCTGCTCTCTGGTTTTGCTCCCTGCTGGGGATGTTTTCTCCTCCAGCACTGCACACGCCTTTGGTCCAAACTGGACTCAAAGTCATTTTTCTTAGAGATTTCCTCCAGATAGCAGAAACCCAGGAACATTTAGTTCCATCTCCCAAGCTTAAATCCTAAACCCCAGGGCATCTCTCTCCTGTCTGCTTTGTTTTCCATGTTTAGCTGAATACTTCTTGCCCCTCAGTGCCATTGGCAGCACTGATTAATGGCCTCTGTGCAGTTTCTGGGGTAGCTCCTGGGCTTCCAGGAGCCCTGGGCACCTCCACCCTGGTGGCCTTTGTCCCTGGCAGCATGGCTCATCCCCACAGGACAGACACCACATTGTGAGCACTGACAGCCTGGCTCGGATCAGGGAGCATCTAGGTCAGCAGCAGGGATGGGAAATTCAGGGAGCAGCAACTGGGATGCTCTCAGCTTCAGCACCATTTCATTCCAGTCCCTTTTCTCTGAAATAGAATCACTCTTCTGCTCTCTGTGTCATTTGGGGTAGCTGGGGCAGGGGATGGGCAGAGGCAGCTGCTTCCCTCCATGCAGTTTCCATCCTGCCTTCTCCTGGGAGCAGGGGAAGGGGCCAGCCCGTGTCCCAGCTCCATCCTGCCCTGGGGCAGAGCAGCTCCAGCCCCAGCTGTGCCTTGCAGTGTGGGGGAGCTGCAGCTGCTCCCTCTGGTATCCAGATTCAAGCAAAGCTCCCCTTGCTGCTGTGCTGGAAAGCAGCAGTGAAATGCTCCCTGTCCTGCTCTGATCCTCCAGAGCTCCAGGGATCCTGTGCATGGGCAGCACAGGTGGCACTGTGACCTGCTGGCAGCTCTGGCCCTTGGGGACATCCAGGTGTGACTTGGCAGCCCCTGGTAATGCCACTCCAGCGCTCCTACCACTGCTGTGACAGGGAATGGGTGCACCTGGGCACTGTGGTGCTTGGGGCCAGGTGCCACTTCCCTCTGGGGATTTTCTGTACGACAGAACCATGGGATAAATGTGCTGGACTCACCCCTGGCCTGTCATTGCACAGCATCTGGGGAGATCAGAACCATTACTGGGCTCCTGCCACCTGTCACAAGTTGCCATGTCCTTTCCATTCTGTTCATAACCCTATTAGCTGAATTTTAATTGTATTTAGAAGTAAAGGGATCACAACACCCTTTTAGACAGCTGCTCCTGAACCTTGATCTGTGTTGGCTAAATACTTCCCTACTTTTGGCATCAACTTATTCCTGGCAAGCTTAGCCTTCTTATTTGTCTGATGTGTGCTGGCATCAGCAGTTCTGTGCTCCTTGGTGGTTATTTTCTGGAGTACTTACAAAGATCTGTTTTGCTTTTTCTCCACCTTCACTTTTGCTGGTGTGAAGTTTTTGCCAGTGAATCTCCTGTGCAGCTGTTGAGGTGACCTGTAAGGAGCACAGTGGTAGGGAATGATATGGACACGCAGGGCTGCAGGGGAGCAAACCCCTCCTTTTCCTTTTCAGCTTGGATGAGCACATTTGCACAGGGAGGAGAGCTGGGCAGTCCCTGTTTCCAGCACAAATGCCTTCCTTCATTCCTGGTTTATTTAAGCAGCATCCTAATGTTGATTACAGTCCTGCAGCCAATCCCAAAGTTTCTTCCTCAGTTATTCACAGGTGGTGAACTTCTCTTAGGGCAAAGGTTGCTCTTAAACCTGATTCCATTTTTAGTGTTTTTGCTCTCCAGGTTTCTTCATGGCCATAAATTCCGGTTAGCCCTTGATGAACTCGTGTGTTTGCGTCACTTTCATTTCTCAGTCTCCAGTTACGGTGGAAAGGTCATTAGTGACAATCCTGGATAAAACTGGTTTCAAACCAGAACCTTTAAGGCCTCCCCCTTGCCCAGTATTTTCCCAGTATTCTGCTACCACCTGTTACCATCTCTCCTTTAGCTGCTTCCTTTTTCTCCCATCTGGTTTTAAGCCCTGTTTAATGTAGCTTAAATAGCTATGTTCTCTTAAGACTGGAGTCCTGATCCTGTTTCCTGGAGCTTGGATACACAAAGGAGTTGCCAGGAATTAGCAATGTCACCTTTCCAACATGTGGGTGCTGGGTGTCAGTGTGAGGGGCTGGCAGAGGGCACAAAGAGCTGCTCCAGACTCCTTGGCTCTGCTTTTGGGGTTTCCCTCAGCGTGGGAAGAGAGCCAAGGCACTTGGGCAGGGACTGGGGGGTCTGCAGTGGCTGCTTTAAACCAGGGGGCAGCCCTGGCCCGTGCCAGAGCCAGCGTGGGCATCAGGCAGTTCTTGTGCTTCTCCCTGATAATTCTCCTTTGCTGTTGTCAGATGAAGATCTCTTTCAACGAGACAAGTTTGCAGACGATGTTTGAGTACCCCTCAGAGAGCTCCCTGGCAGAAGAGGATGAGGAGGAGGAAGGACACGCTTCTGAAACAGACGAAAAATCTCGGACCTTTTATATTCCACGCCCAAACAGCACTTTGCATCCCAGTACACCTAACTCAGGTGAGTGAGGCACTGTGTGGGTGGGCACCGTGGGGTTTCTGTGGTGTCTGACACTGCCCACGTTTCCCACAGCCCTTAAGGGTGGAAATGCTCGTGGAGGTGAACAGGGAGCTGCAGATGGGCAGCATCCAGGCTGTCCCTGCTGGGATCCTGTCCCACTTCTGTTTGGGGTGGTGAGGAATATTTACCTCATCTTTGTCCTTCCAGCAGATTTATCCAGCTACACCCCAAAGCACTCCGTGAAGTTCAGCGAGTGGCAGGAGCAGAAGTACGAGGGTCCTGCTGCAGAGGGATCCCTCCCAAAGGATGCTGATTCCCAGGGGAACCAAGTCATGGTGAGCCTATAAATAACCAATTCTTGTGCTCCCCTGTGGGCTGGGGGTTGTTCCAGGCAGTGGATGGGACAGGATGTGCCTTTCCCTGCACACCTGTGTTTGTGTTCCTGCCCAGGGAGCTGTGTCACTGCTCCCAAAGGGACCATCTCACTGCCCCACTGCCCCTCCCCGGCCGTGTGAAGGAGACTCGAGGCAGCTGGCACACTCTGCTCAGCACAGGAAAGACATGGATCTGCTGGAACAAGTCCAGAGGAGGCCATGGAGATGCTCCAAGGGCTGGAGCTCCTCTGCTCTGGAGCCAGGCTGGGAGAGCTGGGGGTGCTCACCTGGAGAGGAGAAGGTTCAGGGAGAGCTCAGAGCCCCCTCTAGGGCCTAAAAGAGGGCTTATAAAAAACAGGGAATATTGGGATTTTTTTTTTTACATGGTGATAGGACAAGGGGGATCAGTTTTAAACTAAAAGAAGAGATTTAGATTAGCTATTGGGAAGAAATTGTTCCCTGTGATGGTGGTAAAGCCTTGGCTCAGAGTGGCTGTCCCTGGATCCCTGGCAGTGTCCAAGGCAAGGCTGGACAGGACTTGGAGTGACCTGGGGTGGTGCAAGGTGTCCCTGCCATGGCAGGAGGTTGGAACAAGGTGGGTTTAAGACCCCTTCCAACCCGAACCATTGCAGGACGTTCTGACACTCCGGGGCGCGTTTGGAGGGGGGCACTCACCAAACACACCCAAGGCACCGTGCGGGGCCGAGGGGGCTCGGTCTGACCCGGTGTCCTTGCTCTGCCCCAGCTCACCCCGGCGGAGAAGGGCGGTCTCTCGGATTTCAGCAGCGAGCCCGCGCTCTATTTCTGAGGCTGCCGGGCAGGAGGGGCAGCACAGCCCGCACCGACCGCGGCTCTCCCGATCCTGCTGCCAAGGGCGGATGGACCACGTGCTCCCGGGCATCTCCGGACAACATTTGCACTGGATTTTGGGACCCAATTACTGCTTCCAAGGCGTATGATTTATTCTGCCTGTGGCCTTGCATGTTCCTTGTTCAAGATCAGCTGCGGTTAGGCAAGTGTGGGAAGGATATCTGTGATCCCGGAACGGATGTGGATTTTTCTCAGTGCTTGTCTGAGGCACTGTGCAGGGTCTGGACAGCTTTTGCAACCCTTCTCCCCAGTGGAGCACTGGGCAGTTGGGTGGGTTCACAGCCTGACTGTGATTTGACACATTGGGTGTCAGTTTGGAAAACCACTGAAGGTTCGTGGTTTGTCCTTGGCAGGTTTCCAGCTCTGGTTTCACTGAAACATCATGGAATTCATGTGCCAGTTACATGCTTGTGGAATTCACTGAACACCCTGAGGGAGGGATGGGAAGAGGAATGAATGCCTTTAGATTTAGATGTTACTTTTGCACCAATTAGTAGAGAATTGTCCAGGCTGCCTCCAGCCTCTTGAAGATTCCCAAACATTGGCCATAGCTTTGGTCTGTCCTTCCCAACTCTGGCATCCAGTCTCTGGGAGTTGCTGGCTGTGCTCCAGTTTGCCAGCTCCTCTTGTTGCTTTGTTCCAAATCTGATTGATCTCTCTTGGTTGCTTCCTTCAAGCCACACTTGCTCTGCTCTTCTAGTCAAAGCACAGGAGGGAAGTTTCACTCCATTCTTCTGCAGAACTTGAACAAGGAATGTGGGTTATTTTTTGTTTTTTCTAGAATTTTTATAGTTCTATTATAATTGTTTAATGCAGCCAATATGCAAAGGAATCTGCTAGAATCTTCCATTCAAGTTTTCTACTACTGTAAACTCAGGGTCAAAATTGCACTCTGGAACAGATGGAGCAGTGCTGCTAATGTGATTTGTACTTTGGGATTAAAAGAGATGTGGTGAGAACAGATCCGGCCTCTTTGGGCTTTATGGAATGAGTGGGGTGTGATCCAAAGGAACAGGCTGCTATCTCTGATTAAATTTGATGGTTACTGGTTTGTCTATTGTAGATTGTGAATGTCTGCTCAAGTGACACTGCCCTGTGAACTGAAAATGCTCTGCATACCTTGCACTTGGTTTGCTGTCTGTTGGAGCAGCAAGGGAAGGTTGTTCTACTGAAAAACAGGATTAAATGTTAGGACATACCTACTTGTAGCTGTTCCCTTCTGCCCTGGGTGCCTAAATACTTTTGGAAAGATAATGAAAAAAAAGAAAAATGAAAAAAAAGAGCTACTCAGTAGTTTTAGATGTTGGCTGGGGGGCCACCACAAAGAAATATTTTGCACCTCCTAATCCATTCCAAGCTAATTTGAGATGTGCTGCCTGTGTGACTTGCCAGGAGCAGGGTGTGTCTGCAGTGCATCTGCCTGGGACATGACACAAGGACCATGGAGCTCCATGTGTTGAGGCTTCTCCTGTTAATAAAACACTTCAGGATAAGGTGCTGAGACTGGTGGGAATGAGGGAAAAAGTGAAACTGCCTGTGACTGCTAGATTTAAGGGGTGAGTTTTCAGCACAGCTTTTCTAGCAAAAAAAGGTCCCAGTGAGCATCTCCCCCTGTGGAAAAGCCCAGGTCAATTTAAGGCAGCTCTGTTTCTTGCAGGACTGCAGGTGGTAAGGCAGAGCTGCTTTCTACTCAAGTTAGGGACGAAGGGTCTGAACTAGCCCAGGCTTAGTTCTGCTATGGATCCATGAGGAATGCTAAAGAATGCTGAAGCCAACACTGTCCTGCAGCTCCAACACTGCTCTGGTTCTGTGTGAGTTAACCCTGGGGGCAGCACAGCTCGGGGCTGTGGGGGTGCTGCTGACTCTGCTCCTTCTCCTGGTGATGCTGCTGCACCTGGAGCTGTGGTTCTGCACTCCTCTGCACTTCCCAGCTTCCTCTAACCCCTGCCCAGCTCCTCGAGCTGCCTCCAGGCAGAGCAGGGTGAGGGCAGTGCTGAGGGCAGGAGCATCACTGCTGGGTCACCTCCTGGGATGTGCCTCAGCATGGCTGGGCTCTAAATAAAGGGTATTTCTGTGTAAATGCCTACCCTGCTCTGTAGCATCTCCTTTAGTGGGTCTCTGACTAATACCAAAGCACATCTGGAAGGTAAATTCACTTCTGCAAGACAAGGGCTTTTATTAAGTGTGGCATCCTTGGAGCACAAAGCAGCTCTCTCTGGCCAACAGGACATTCCAGGCTGAAGAAGTTTAGGAACGCTTTTGTCGACGTATTCGTTGTCCTAATGAAGTGGTTTGTGGATCAATGATTTTACCAAGATCCCTCATTTCCTTCTTCAGGACATCTAGCAATGTCTGAGAATTGTCCAGTATCTGGGAAAGAAATAAAAATAGCTTATTTTTACATAAACTGTTTCTCTTATGAATTCCCTTCCAATTCAGCTGATCTGCCTTGCAGCAAGAGGGGCTGTCATCCCTTCAGCCTCTAATTCCTGGTGATTTATTGTCCTGTCTGTGTGGAAATATCTGTGGGAGAATTTCTCTGGTTTGTATTCATATTCTGAATATGAAAGACTTTAAGCAATTTATCTGCTTTGGAACATGAGGCAGAGAACTTCCTGAAGCAGACTGGGGGTTTGGGTTGGTTGGATGGGTTTTTTTAAGGGAGATTTGGTACCTGAGCTTTTTAGGTCAGCATTAAATTTTAGGTCAGTATTAAATTAAATTAAGGTCAGTTTCAACTCTTTTCCACTATTAAAACTGCACATTTTGGGTTTCTGGCTTCAAGACTAACTCAAATCTACAGTGACCTTATGTCAGACTAGATCTGTTATTAATTTTCTCCTATTTTTAGCTCATTGTGTACACAATCTGACATCCCTACTTCCTGTGCTCTAAGCTACAACATATTTACACCTTGCTGCCTGTCCACCTCACCAGTTAAAAATTTTAACACAGTGGACAGTTGTAACCAAATGTGATGGTTGTAGTCCCAAAAATTATTTATGTTCCTGTGAATTTGTGGAAATCACCAAGTGATCAGAGAGGAGCTGAGGAGGTGCCCCACAGGAGGAAGGTGAAATCCTGTGGGTGCTGGCAGAAGGCAAGAGTGACAAACAGGAAAAGAACTCTGTTACTTTCTGTCTGTAGGACACCAGCATCTCCTTCTCACCACCTCCTGATACCTCCTGTGGGTGTCAGTTCATTTCAATAAACAGGAATTCATCTGTAGGCTGGGGGTGTGACCTGGATCTCAGGTAAGCTTTCTTTTTAAAGGGGCTGTTTGTGTACCTTCCAACAGAGTTTTTAAGCTTTTAAATTTTTATGTGGGTTTCCCCTTTCACTTCAAACCATCAGGTCTTGAAGGAGGTTGAGGAAACATGTCCAGCTTCATCTCAAAAGTGATTGCCAGGGGAAAGCATTGACTTTGGGAGAGGAAGAAGAGCTGACACAGTAGTTGGTCACATTCAAAATGCAAATGGGAGGAGAATTTAGGCAGCAGCTAATAGGGGAAAGGTGTTTCTGACACAAACTCTGCCTGGTCACCATGAGAAGGAAGATTGTCACTTATCTTCAAAGAAGCTGGGAAGATCCTTTTTTAAAGAAAAAAAGCTGTTGGGTGTAATACAGAAGTGACTTCAGGTGTGGCCCTGTCTGTGGGGATCAAGCAGTCCCTGCCTGGCAGTAACACACACAGGGGAAGGGGTAGAGCTGTCTCAGGAACCAAAATGACAGTGCCAGCCCTGGTGCTGTTTGCCTCCTTCCCACCCTTGACCACCCCAACAGTTTGAATCTTTTAATGACATTGTTCTATTAAAGATGAAAGAAATACACTAAATATTGGGCTGGAAGAGTGGCAGGCCAACAGCTCCATCAGCACCATTGTTCTCTGCCTGAATTAGTAGGATTGTGGGTCAGTGTCATGTCTCTGGTTTCCTCCTTTCCCCCAAACCATGGATCTACGATGGTAATTTTTAGGGATCTGTTCCAAAAGCCACTTTTAATGTATTTTGACAATAAACTTTGCCCAAGCCCAAGCAGCACCAAAACAATCCAAGCAGCACCCCTAACTCAATCCTCTTGTGATGGGGTCTGTGTGCCAGAGCTGCATCCCAGGCCTGGGAAGTTTTGGCTGCAGGGCTGCGACCCAGGGAGGAGTGGAGGTTCATCGAGGTGCTCCCAACCGGCTTTCAGGTAAATACACACCGAGTTCACACATACATACATACATAAATATATACATACATACACATAGATATATATAGCTATATCCCAAACTTCCCCTGGAAGTTAGGCTGGAGCTCAGGGCAAGGCTCTGCCCCCAGAGGGTGCTGGCACTGCCCAGGCTGCCCAGGGAATGGGCACGGCCCCGAGGCTGCCAGAGCTCCAGGAGCCTTTGGGCAGCGCTGCCAGGGGTGCCCAGGGTGGGGCTGCTGGGGGGGCTGGGCAGGGACAGGGGCTGGGCTGGGGGATTCTTGTCCACCTCAGGTTGTTCTCAGTGATTCCCTCGGGCCCAGTCCCTGGTCAGAGATCAATGCCGTCCCTCCTGCTCCCCTCACGGGGAAGCTGCACAAGGCGATGTTCCTCGCTGGCAGTACCTCCCCGGAGGCCAGGTCCATCTCGGCGATGGTGCGGTCGATGTGGGCTCGGGTGGAGCGGAGCCCCGCCAGGTTCTCGCTGGTGTCGGACAAGCGCCGGGAGAGCGTCGCGATCCGCGCCTGCAGCCGGCCCCGCTCCGCCTCCTCGGCCTGGATCCGCCCGTTCAGCTCGTCCCGCCGGGCGCGGAGCTCCGACAGCCCTGCGGGGCGGCACCGTCAGAGGGGCCCGGGCCCGGCCCCTGCTCCTGCCCGGCCCCGCCCGGCCCCCCGGCCCCGCTCACCCTCCTGCAGCGCCGCGTGGTGCCCCCGCAGCGCGGCTCCGGTGCCGCTCATCGCTGCGGCCGGCGCCGCTCCGCTCCGCCCCTTCCTGCGGCCCGAATGGAGCT